ACTCCCCATTCTCCTCTCCCTATGGCAACCACCATTCTACTTTCTGTCTCCATGAAATCTACTATTCTAGATAACACATGTAAGTGGAATCATACAATATTTGTCCTTTTGTGCTGAATTTCACTTAGCATAATGTCTTCAGAGTTCATCCACGTTGTAGTGTATATTAGAATTTCCTTCTACTTTTAAGGTTAAACAATATCCCATTTTATGTATATAGCACATTGTATCCACTCATTCATCTATGGACACTTGGATTATTTTCTTTTGGCTGTTGTTAATAATGCTACTGTGAACAAATATCTGTCCAAGTCCCTGCTTTTATTTCTTTTGGGTATATGCTCAGAAAAGAATTGCTGGATAATATGGTAATTCTGTTTAATTTTTTGAGGAATTGCCTTCCATTTTCCACAGGGGCACGCCATTTTACATTCCCACCAGTAGTATACAAGGAATCTGATGTCTGCATATCCTTGCTAAATTTTATTTTGATTTGTTAATAATAGCCATCCTAATGGGTGCAAATTCTTGTGTTTGTTTTGTTTTGTTTGCATTTCCACTGGGAAACTTCTGAAGGTCAAAAAGTCTGAGGCCCTTTTGTCACAGGCAGAGGGGCCAGCTGAAAGGAATCTGAGTATGGAGGTAGTTTCACTTTTAATCCTACCTCTTCCCAGGAGCTGAGCAAAGGCTCAGATACCCCCTTATTCCTGTACTTTTCCCTCAGGTGCCCTGGGTATTCTGCTGCCTGCTGAGCTTGGTCGGGGGATGATCAGCAAGCCTGAAGGGTTTTTGCTGTTGTTGTGTTGCAGTTGTTGCAAAACCCAAGGTTTTGCACGTGCTAGGCAAGCACTCTATCATTCAGCCACCTCCCGGGCCCAAGGTTGAGTTTTGAAAACTTAAGGAAGAAGCCAGACACTGTAATCTCAGTTACTGAGGAGGCAGAGGCAGGAGGATCACAAATTCAAGCCCAGCCTGGGCAATTTAATGAGACCATGGCTCAAAGTAAAACATAAAAAGCTGGGGATGCTCAGTGATAGAGCATATCTGGGTTCAATCCCAGTACTACCAGAGAAAGAGAGAGATGCTCCTGATGGACAGCAGTCAGCATGGGCAGGAAGAGTCTACTGAGGGGACAGAGGGGCATTGAGTAGAAGAGGGCAATGGCATCAGCAATAACATTCCAGCCTTCCCTCCCTCACCAGGTGGAACTTTAATAGTTCATCCTTGATGCCCAAGGAGACCCTGGGAGGGAGGGAAGGAGCCAGCAGGGATGGTCCTACTGTTTTTACAAATGAAGACTCAGAGATATTTCCTTTAGGATCCCAGAAAAGGTTAGCCTCAAGGGACAAGAGAAAAACCCAAGATCAGAGCAAGTCATAAAATGAAAGAGCAGAGACCCAGAAAGGGAAACGGACTTGCTCAGAAAGCAAGACAGCAGAGAGAGCCAGAGGACCGTTGTTCATATGGTTTCTTCCTGGCTCCCTGCCTGGTGGCCTGAGGTATTCACTTTCTACAAATACACTCTGACATTCTAATGCCCTGTCCCCACTGTGGTGACCCTAGCATGCATCTTTACAAAGTGCGGATATCCTTGTAGTGTCACCTCCCTCTGATTTTCAGTCTATTTACCCTATCATCTCGTAACAACTGTGCCCCACAGCTTCCTCTGCCTCACATCCTGGGTCCAGGTTCTGAAGTTCAGATGGAGGCAGCAGCCACACCCCCTGCCCCGGGACTCTGCCAATGAAGGAAATGAGGCTTGTCTGGCATGACCAGCTCAGTCAGACAAAACTCATTTCCTTTCTGACAGGATAAGAAGTTCCAGTTCTAAGAAGAAACTAGCCTCTGGAAATGTCTGAGCTCCCGCCTTCTGGAAGAACGTAGAAGAGGGGAGCCTGGATATGTGGTAGAAATTGGAAATAAGAATACAATCATTTTCTCATTTCCTAGCCTTCTCCCTGCCCTCCCCATGCACGGCTTGCCTTGGTGAAGAACAGCAAACTCTCCTTGCGGAGGCTCCACTCTTACACCTCACAGACACCCCCCTTCCTGGGCACCACAGTCCTGCCTCCAGAAGATACTTTTAGGTCAAGAACTGTCACCCTGGTCACATTCTTACATGGAAGAGATAATATATAGGGGATCTGGGGTCCACTAAATCAACCTTCTTGGTTAATGGGTTCTGCCCAATTCAGACTTTGTTCTGGGCCCCGTGTGAAGAGGGAGACTAGAGACAGCATTTCTTGAAGACATGGCCAGGACAAGGAGCCTATCCTTGGTGCCCTTCCTCTTATTTCCCTTCCTGGCCCCTTGGAGTCCACCAGGGATGCTCAAGCCCCCTCTCTCCCTGAGACGGTCATTCCAAATATCTTCACTAAGGTGGAGTAGGGAAGGTGTAAAGAAAACACCAATGGTGAGGTCCTGGGTGTCTCCAGAAGAGGAGCAGTCACTTACTCTGATGTTCACCCACCCAACCACCAAGTAGCAAAGTTCCAGACATGCACCCTAGAAGAGGAAGAAGGAAACTCTCCAGCATTTGAGCATGTGAATGTGTATCTGTGTAATATGTACATAGCAATTCATGTACATGTCAACATGTGTGCCCACATGCCTTTAAAAAACTTGAGCAGGGATTTATTAAGACTTATAATGCTTATTATGAGCCAGGCATATTCTAAGTAATTTATAAGCATTAATTAACTTAATATTCATAACAATCATAAGGAAGTAGCTATTACACCTATTATACAGATCAAGAAACTAAAGCTGGGCATCGTGGTACACACCTGTAATCCCAGCGGCTCAGGAGGCTGAGGCAGGAGGATCATGAGTTCAAAGCCAGCCTCAGCAACTTAGCAAGAACCTGTCTCTAAATAAAATATTTTAAAAAAGGGCTGGGAATGTGGCTCCGTGGTTAAGCACCCCTGGGTTCAACCCCTGGTACCAAAATAAAATGAAAAAAATAAATAAACAAACAGAGATAAAGAGACAAAGTCATTTACTCAAAGTCACAACTAATAAGAGGCAGTGGCAGGATTTGAACCCAAGTCTTTTAGTTTTTCATAAGCACATACCAGGCATGTCATATATGTTAGTGCACATGCATCTGTGTGGATGTGTTTTTGAGGAGGGAAGGGTGAAATTGCTTTTCCCTCTGGTCTTTTAACCCAGATCTTTTAGTTGCAAACCCTGTGTAACACTGCAATTTAATAAGAAACATATACTTTGACTTTGACTTAATTTTCTGGCACAGAGTTTCTAAAATCCTTATAATTTCCTGAGCTACAGGGGTGCTAGAAGAATCTTCTGTTCTAATATTTGGTCTTTGACCCTGGTTCCTGATGCAGAGCTCCCAATCCCTTGCAATTTCCTGAGTGATAGGAGTGTCTTTTGTTCTAGTTAGGTGACCCTTGGTGGGCTCCTGGATGGGGGCTAGTCACCAGAAAGATCAAACCATGATTAGAGCTTGAAATATTCAGCCCCCTCCTCCCATATTCTCCAGGAAGGAGAGAGGAGCTGAAATTTGGGTAGATTACCAATGGCCAAATGTAATCAACTATACCTACATGATGAAGCCTCCACAAAACCACAAAAGGACAGGATTTGGAGAAGCTTCTAGACAGCCCACATCAGGAAACGCCTGAGGGTGGTGCACCTGGAGAAGGCACAGAAGGCCCTTTCCTTCCCACAGGGCCTGCCAAATGCATTTCTTCATCTGGCTGTTTGCTGGTATCCTTTGTAATAAACTTTATAATAAACCAATAAACATAAATGTTTCACTGGGTTCTGGGGGCCATCCTAGCAAATTAATTGAATTCAAGGAAGGACTCCTATGACTATGGGAACCCCAATCTGTAGGTGGCTAGTCAGAAGCACAGGCCACAACCTACTACTGGCTATTGGCATTGAAAATAGTAGTATGTGGCTGCCTATCAGATTCACTATGGAATCTAACTGTAGGTACATTGTGTCACAGTAAGTTATCCTGTAGGATACCCAGCTGGTGTCCACTGAATTAATTGCTTGCTGAAAGGGAGAAATTCCCACACATCCGGTGTCAAAAATGAAGTGTAGAGAGCAGTGGAGTATGAGATGAAAAGGAAAAAAAAATTATAAGTCAATACTAAAAAAAATTTTTATAAGACAAAATTTTATAAGACAATACTACAACCAAAGGACCAGAGGCATCTGTTTGACAGTCAGATCTGAACCTTGACCATTTCTGCTCAGGGCTGAGGCAAGCAGGCAGGGATCCCTCCAGTAATTACATAGATGAATAGAGACAGCCAAATGGCCCTGGGATGGCCACAGGAATCTACCCTCCTAACTCCTATATCTTACCTGACACTCAGAGTCATAGTTTCATCCATCAGAGCCTTCAGCTCCCTCAGCCTGACAACAGGGGCCACCTGTCCTACACACTTGTTTCTTCTGGCCCAGGGCCATCAAGAAGGAGGCATCTGGGACACTTACTATCTCAATTGCTAGGGTGATAATTAAGACTTTAGAGCCTCTGGTTAAATTTCCTGGGGCTGACAAGAAACCTTATTTTGGATAATACCATTTAAGTTACCCTACAAACACTTTGGCAAACGGCTCTGAGATCTACATCTGAACTTTCCTGGCCTTTGCTGAAAAAAAGGAGAATGTGACCAGAGAACTGCTAGGGGAAATTCTGTTTTGAAATGGATACTACTAGATTCTATAAAGTGAGTACCTATGAGGTAGGTGTCAGTCATTGGTTTAGATATACCATCTTCTAAGTTTTAAAAAGTCTCAATATTATTAGTCCCATTTCCAGATAAGAAAGTGAAGCTCAAATGGGAAAACTTCTGATTTCAGGGAGGTGTGTATACCCCAACTCTGCCCTGCTACCATGATACCAGTGCGCAAGGCAGACGCGGGCAAGGCATATGTCTACTTTCTTCAGATTCTCCCAGTAGGCATCCCCAGCTCAGGAAGAACCCAAACCCCTTAAATCAGAAGAGAAACCACCATAATTACAAAGATAGGGTCATTTATTCATGTTATATTATTGGATTTCAAAGGCAAAAATACAGTTGTTTGTTCGGAACACCAAAATCAGATACAGCCTCTCCCAGTGGTAAATAGAAGCATTTGCATACATGGAAAATCAAAGTACACAGCACAACAGGTCTTTAGAATATGAAAACTGTCATCCTGGCTGTGTAGGACAGCCCATACCCAGCCCCAGGGGTAACAGAGACCCTGCCCAGGCTGAAGGCAAGCACAGCATTTCCTTTACTCTCCTGTGACACTTCTGCCCTCTGATCATCCCTAAAGGCCATTTGACACAGGATCACTAGCCACAGGATTTACAGACTTAAAGAAAGGCACAGCATGACAACTCATGGTGGTAACTCCCAGGTGAAGGAAATTCTCCAGAACCCTCAGCCCTGGAGTCTCAAGGGAGGACAAAGGACACCATGCAAGGCATGCCTCTGGTAATGCCTTTAGTCTGGAGGGAGAAGGGATGAGGCTCAGAGCACTGGAAGGTCAGCATGTGTGTGTGTGTGGTGGGGGAGACAAGAGAAGCAAATTTTCCATTGTTTCTGAGAATGAAACACATACTTGATATGGATGAAAATGTAACAGGAAGAAAAGAAGGGTGGGGGAGGTGGAATTTTGTTCAAGAGTGAAGGAAGTAACAAAGAAGTAGCCACTCAGAGCATTTGTCTCCTTTTTCTTAAGGCACTTTGGAAGAGTCAGGTTCTGGAAACAGAAAAGACCTCTCTGCATTTCCCAAAAAACTCTCAGTACAATCAGTCTCAGTTTTAATAATTTCCTTATTAAGGCATGGGGAATGACAAGGAATACTTTTTGCATAGCCCAGGTGCTTCTGCAGAGGAAGGTAAGTTCTAACACATACAAAGGTGTCTGGGGAAAAAAAAAATTTAGCATCTGAGATGCTAAAAACGATAAAGGCACAGGTAGGATAGGGCCAAGCATAGCTCAGCCTCCAAACTCAGGGCAGGTATCCAGGAGGGCAATGCTTGAGGTCCTGGCTGCCACTAACAAAGGGCTCAACCCTGGCAACTAAACCTTAGGACCTCAGCCCAAGCTGGACCTGGCAAAGGCCTCTATGGTAGGAAGTGCCTCTTGCCGTCTTACCCAGGTGACTACACATCCCCCCAGCAGAGGCCTGCATTCCTGAAAGACTCCCCTGTGGATTAACCTCATGGGGGTGGGAGCACCTGCTAAAACCCTGAGGGGGGATAGGAGGCTTTAGGCACCAGAGTTCTCAGGAGGAGACAAGGTGTGGGTTCAGATGAACTTTCTAAATTTCTAATTAAAAGGCACAGTCATTCTGGAGAATGAATAGTCTGTTTGACCCTGAGTGCCACAGGCAAGTTTTGGGGAGCAGGCAAGAGGCAAGGAATAAAATGGGAGAGGAAGGAAAGAAGGGCAGTGTAAGAGAGGCAGGGGAAGGAGGAGGAGAACCGGTAATGCAGGGTGGGACAGGGAGTGTGGTGGCAGAGGCTCTCGGAGGCCGCCCTGCCAGAACAGAAGGTCCCTCCAGCTGGGGTGGAGCTAAGGGATGGTAAACAACCTGACTGCAGTTTTTTACAGTCCCACAGCCTAGGGCCCTGAGGGGTCTGTCGGAGGAGGCTGAGGTTCCCTCCGCCCAGCCCACCTGGGGAGGGTGGGTGGGGTAAGGAGTTCTGTCAGGTAGGCAGAGGCTGACTCCCAGGTCTTTGCACTAGAAGTCTGGCAGGATAATGCTGACTGGGAGGTGTAGCCCTCAGCAAGAGACTGAAGGTGATTTTGCTCTTCATAAAACCTGGCCTGCCAGCTAAATCAGAGGCCCATTTGAGGCCATAACAGCATATATAATCCCCGCCCAATCCCACCCCCAAAATGCTCAATTTCCTCCCTATATTTAAAATACCACAATAAAAATACATAGGAAATTCAAGTTTACATAGCATCCCCAGAAAAATACATTGTCATGACTTAACACTAAACAGCTATGCAAATTTGGATCAACACAAAATCATGCTAGATCATAATTAGAACTCAATTTTTTTTCTTTCTTTAAAATACAAGCTGCTTAAAAAAAAAAATCTTTACATTCAGAAACCAGACAATCTGGAGATAGGCCACTGTAAGTGAGAACACCCAAGGTTTTGCTCTGATGGCTAAAGTTACCTTGGAATTCACACATTAGCAGGACAAAAGGTTCAAGGCTCAAGTTTAAAAATTCTTTTGCTAAGACACACACACACACACACACACACACAGTGATTGTAATAGTTGCATACCACTGAAAAGAAATGGGGTGGATAACATGAAACTGGTTGAAATTTTGTGTTTTCTGTTAAAACATTGTTCAAAAATATATCAATCCAATTTCAGCAGCAGTTTCTAATTTTTCATGAAGTAATTCATGAAATTCACCACAATTTAAAGCAAAAATTCTTACCCATTTCACAATTTAGCCATTTTATCAGTGGGAACAAGCCACACAGTCTACAAATTCTGAACTGTGCACAGTTCTGACTCTTTGGGGTGTCACTGTGAAAATGTCAAGAAGCACCCAAATGCTGACAGTCTACACTGACAAACACCTTGTACAGCTAAGAAGTCATATGCCGAGCCAAGTTGGGGGCAAAATATTCCACTTGTCCTGGTCATCTGGAAAGGCATCTGAATGATGAGTGAGGGGACCTATCACTCAGATTGTACAAATGAGAGGGACCAGCCCAGCAGACTGGCCGAGAAACAGCAGAGGTCTCTGGCCATTTTCACGTCCTTAATTTGTACCAAGATGCTAGCTTGGTGTACCGATGTCCACTGTGATTTTGGTATACAATGGGTATCTCTGTACGTCCAACACATGGTAGGTAAGTGAGTTCAAACCATCAAAGCGCATTGTATCCCTTGTGTGTGCAATTCGGTCAAACCTACAAGGAAAGAAAGGAGAAGGTATCAAAACAGAAATCTTAAGAAAAAAACTATTTTCATCTGTACTTTTCCTCCATACCCTCTCTCCCACTTGACCCTGCCCAGACTGAATGCCTCTATTTCCCTGCAGGCATACAACCCTCTCCAGAGCATAAGTCCTGCAGCCTGTCCCATCCTAAAGTGGGGAGAAGACAGAATTGAAATGAATACAGAACGCACCTCTGAGGGTTGGGTTCATTTTTCTTGTCTCTCGAGTGGCGGATCATGCGACACCTCCCGATCACAGCATTTGGGCGAGATATAGACATGCCTCTAAAAACTAATCTGCAAAGAGCAAAGGGACAAGTCATTAAGACAGAGGAGCCATAAGGCTTGGGTCTGATAGTCCCATCTGTGAGACTGTTGCCCCATCTGTCAGCTCTGCTTGCTATTCTCACTCAGCCCAAACCCCAGCATCACGACAAGACCCAGTCCAGCAAGACACTAGTTTAAATTCAATCCTACTCCTTGTTCTTTCACAACTGGTTCTACAGTGTGTGGGGCTGCCTAGCATATACCAACATTGAGGGTATCTGCCCCCACAGAATTTCAGTGTGGATACTTAGAACCTGAGGCCTTTGGTGACAGGCCAGAAGTGAGAAGGGGAATGTAGGGTCAAGGGGTACAGAGGAAGAAATAACCAAGTGAGGCAGCAGAGCCAAGTTGTGAGGATGAAGAGGTGTGTGTCGGCCAGAGCGGTTTGGGCAGCCAGGACAGCACTGGCAAGGCACAGAGCTGAGAGCAAGTATAGACCTAAGATTTGCCCTCAGTGAACAAGAAAAGCTTCCAGAGACTACTGGAAAGAGTAAGGGCTAGGAAGTGACAGGTGGTGAGACTGAAAAAAAAAAAGGGGGGGGCAAAGGCTAAATCATGGAGGCCTCAGAGCATACCAAGGAACAGTACCACTGCCTAAACGTTACAATGTGCAGCATTCCCCAAATGGTTTTGACTGTGGTGAAACCTCTCTGGTGCATATTTTAAAAGAATAGGAGAGCAGAGAACATGACTAGAGGCAACCAGAACAGGGTGGAAGAATCTTGAGTTGGTCCAGGGGAAAAGAATAAGGACCAAAAATTGAAGCCTTAACAGTACAGTACCAAGGTTAGAATCAGGACTGGCTGATCCTGGATGACTAACAGCATTCTAGCCCTGCTTTCTTCTAAGTGTGGATCCTAGGGACATAGCAAGAAGGTCTGTAATTTAGCTGCTTCACACACTGAGATCCTTCTAGTCCTACCAGCTTAGAGTAGCAGTATTTTATGTTCTCTCTGCCCCCAATCATCCTGACCTTTCAGCTGTGGTGTCCTGTCAGCCCAGTATACTACCATAGCAGTCCAGAGTGACTGCCCAGGTGTGGCTCTGTGGAAGCAGGTTTGTTTTTGTCTGGACCCTGTGTGCAGGTCTTTGGTGTCTGCTTCCCTAGGCCTGCCTGGCACAATGCTGTGCAATAGATGCTCAATATGTGCATGCTTAGGAACCAGTCTTCAAACTCTAAAACTGGAGTTCTCGTCAAGGCTATTGTGTGAAAACTTGGGTCTATGTCAAGTTTTCACACAATGGAAACCTTGAATGATGTGGGTGTTGCTTTGACAGACAACATCTGTGAAATCAAATAAATGTATTCCAATTCAAGAAAGCTAGCTGTACCTCAATATATTCTTTTTTCTTTTTTTTTAGTTATAGTTGGACACAACACCTTTATTTCACTTGTTTATTTTTTTATGTGGTGCTGAGGATCGAACCCAGGGTCTCGCACATGCGAGGCGAGAGCTCTACTGCTGAGCCACAACCCTAGCCCCTCGGTATATTCTAATATCAAACTCAGTGACAAGTTCAGACTGGCTCCCAGAAGGAGCTGATAGGCAAGACTGAAGGCTCTTTATCAGGGAGGATTGAGCAGAGTGTAATTTTAAATGCCTCTGATAGATGTTTTTTTACTTGCAATAATAACTGCAGGATAAAGGTCTATTAGTTTAAAAGAGCCCTGGGATGTACATGGGGCAGGACTGGCCATGGTATGACAGCTATGTGACAGGTGGGTCTATAAAAGTTCATCGGATTACTTTTATCTTCTCTATGGTAATAGTATTCCAAATAAAGATGCAGCAGCAAAGATTCTGTGAGGAAAATCAGGATTCTTCCCAAGGAAAATTGTTTCCCATTGAAAGCAGACCACAATGACATGCTGTTTTTCATTTTACATTTTCCAAGGCTAATCCAAAAATCTTGGCTCATTTTTTTCTAAAGATCCTGATAAGTACCTATAGGATCTATAAGTACCTATAGGATCTATAGTAACATAAATCTAAGCATCTCGGCTGACTGGGGACTACAGTCCACCTGAGGGTCAATCCTTGAAGAATAACCAAGCACAGGTTCAAAAACCGGAAGTGAAGATTCACAGGAGAGAAAGAGATCTAAGGTGTGACTATTACCTGTTAAAGATGTCATCATCTTCTCCTCCCCAGCCCCAGTAATTATTAGGAAATCCATTGATGGTCAAAAACTGTTGTTTACTTAGAGCAGAGACACCTCCAAAATACTGAACATAAGGTAGGCTGGGAAGAAAAAAAAAAAAACAGAGGACCCATGTGGTTAGTAAGCCTTGACATTCCTGAAAGAAAGCTTGCTGAATTAATGCTTTAAAAATTACTTTTTATTTTTTGACAGGAGATTTGTGAGGGTTTTCTTCTTCTTCTTCTTCTTCTTTTTTTTTTTTTTTTTGCAGTTCTGGGGATTGAACCCAGGGTCTCACACATGCTAGGCAAGTGCCCTACCACTGAGCTACAACCCCAACCCCTCTGCCCTGTTTTGATTTTACGTCAGGGCTCACATTATTCTAAGACACAGGTATCAAAACACAAAATCTTCCTTTTTCTAATAATAGTGCTGTTTCTGTGGTTATCTAGAAACCAGTCAGTGACAAGAGTGGGCATAAGCCTAATTCTTCCACTGTGGCTCAGGAATCTGCTTTCTATGTGTCCTGCTCTTACAAGAAGTCCTTATTCGGAATCCTGAATCTGAGATTGTTTTGAAGTCTCCCTATGCCTACTCTATCATGCGCCCCTTCCCACAGGCTCCTATCTACCAATCTAGTGTTCACTCTTTTAAAGGCATACTGCTTAAACACTAATCCTAACAGCTGAGGCGCCTTTTCTGGAAATTTGCCCAAATAAAATTTTCTTTGAAATTTCTACTTTATCACAACTTAGCAAAATGCATAACAATAAATCTACTTTTATATTTCCAAGTAGTAGGGCATCGGGGCTCTCATCCTTCCTTACCTTTTTATATTTCAATATTTCAATGGTTATGAACAGTGGACCCCCAAAGGACACAGAATAAGCACTGATGAGAAAGATCAAGAATCAGGACATGACTCAAAGGCCATACAAAGGCCTTCCTGTGGGTCTACCAAATGGTTCAGTCTGTGCTTTCAATCTTAAGATTCTTACTAGACTCCAAAGAGGACTAAAAGCCATCACATAAATTAAGAAAAACTCCAGCTCAGACTTTGAAGGAAGTCACCCAAACCATATAGAACAGTGTGAATTCAAGATATAACTATGATTGTCAAATACATTCAGGAATTCTGACCACAAGTATCCACAAGCAAAGATTCTTAATAAGTTGAAGGTAATTTATTTGTAATTAGGTGTCATCACTTAGAGGCCAAGTCATCCATCTACCTTTTGGCATACCTTACACTACTGTCCAACAGCAGAGGTGTCCAGACCAATAGGGTGTTTTGATAATCACTGTTTTTACAAAAATGGATTCTTAGTTACCTCAGTGGAAGTATACATAGAGTTGATAAGCTTTAGTTTTGCTGCCTTTGCTGATTTCTCTTACCTACCTGCTCCATCCCCCAAACCTGACTGGTTCTCTGTAAACCAACATGGTGCTATGGAAAAGAACTGGGTGATCACTTGGGCCCCATTCTGGAAGAACAAGATGTGTCAGGGGATGAATCTGTGTATTTCAAAGAGAGGAAAATACACAGAAAGGGAGGGACAAAGGGAGGACCCGAAGTGATTATAGCAGAGTCAGAAAATGATATTCCATTTACTTTCCTTCAGCATATTTAGCACCTGAATAGCTTTGATCTGGGGCAGACCTATATATACCCCCAGCCTTAATGGCCCCAAGCCAGGGAGGGTAGGAAAAAGGATGAGAACAAAATGAATCTGACAGAAAGTAGTTGTATCTTCACAAAGGACCTGCTGCCTGCACAGCCCAGTTTCCACTGGTTTTTGGCCTAAAATAGGGGTACCTAACATTCAGGGTACCCTGCAGCATACCTTCCTGGGGCGTCATGTCTACTTAAAGCAAAGAAGGGACCGGTTATGTTAGTCAACTTATGGGTGATTTAAAAGAATTTTATATTAATACAAATATGAATAAATTGAGTGATAAAAGGCATATTTATTTACTTTTAAAATAGAACAATGGACTACAAGGTCACATTTCCGCATGTCAAAATGCTTTGGATTATACCCTTGCCCCTGGGGACAGGTATCACTGGCCTCATCAGTAGAGGCATTTTGGTGGAAAAGTTTGGGCTCCATGCTTAAGCAGAAGCATGTGCACTGTTGGGAAACAGAATCATGTTCCTTCTTAAAGTGCCAAGAAATTCTGCTGAGGCATCCAACCTCAAAAATTCAGTGGTGGTGATGAGGGGATTATTTCGATTTGCTTTCCAAACTGTGTGGGGGCAGGGAAGAACAAAAAAAGAAAACCTAGCAACTGTTTGGGGCCTAAAGATAAGAGTTATCGCAAACATTAAAAACTCTTCTGAGGGGTGTGCAGGTGGGGGTGGGGGGGGGCTAGGGTTGTGGCTCAGTGGTAGGGCGCTTGCCTAGCACGCATAAGGCACTGGGTTCCATCCCCAGCACCACATACAAAACCTAAATAAACAAAATAAAGGTATTGTGAACATCTACTAAAATATTTAAAAAACTAAACTAAAAACATTTTTTGAAAAAACTGTTCTTGGGTCTAGGATTGTGGCTCAGTGGTAGAGTGCTTGTCTCACATGTGTGAAGCACTGGGTTTGATTCTTAGCACCACATAAAAAATAAATCAATAAAATAAAGGTATTTGTCCATCTACAATTTAAAAAATTAAAAAAGAAAATAAATAAATAAATAAATAAACTGTTCTCATCTGCATACACAGAGATTATAGGCATTTCTGGATTGCTTTTTCCTTCTCAAATGATAACTGACTCTATGCCTAAAAAGCTGTCATTTCTCAGAGACAGCGTACTCCTTCAGAGCCTAGAGAAACTGTATTTCTTAGTCAACATATAAGAGTTTACTGCACACTCTGGCGAATATCTCTTACCTAAATCCAAACTTGTCCATTGCAACTGAAATGTGCCGTGGCTGTGGGAAACACCTGTAGGCATTGTGGTCATCCATCGGAATGAGGTCTACATCACTAAACACAAAGCAGTTGTAGTCATAGTCCTTCAGGGCTTCTTGAAAACCAATATTGAGGAGCTTTGCGCGATTGAACATGGTATCTCCAGCCTGGTGCAGAAACAAAGAAACTGATATCAGAGGCCATAAGACCTGTGTGCAAAACATTCACAGGGACAGGTGACTTGTCTGCTACACATGGTCATTAGTCAACTCTTGGACCTCATTTTTTTCTGCCTTTACTTCAGAAATCCACCCTGAATGCCAACCCTGTCATTCAGCAATCCCACTTGTAGAGTTTACCATGCAGAAAGACTTGCATGTATGCAAATAGCTGAAAAATACACAGTGTGCAAAGCAGAAGACTGCAAACATCCCTAGGGAACTGGTTAAGTAAGTTATGGTGCAAACATATGATGGAATAGAGCTGTTAAAAAATAAGGAAGCTCTAAAACAAAAGGTAAAACAGATGTATCATTTATATATTTTTTGCATACATCATACCACAAATAGGTTAACTCAAAGAAAGATAAATAGGAAATTGGTGACAGTTGGAATTTTTCATTTCTACCCTCTTTAACTAAGGTTTGATTACCAATCATGTGCCTTTAATGTGTCCACCAGTCACTAAAGTAAACACCTGAGAAACATGGTGAACCTAACTCAACCTCTGCCCTCACAGTGCTCATAGTGTAGGATAGGAAGCAGTCTGATATACACCATGACAGAATCAGAAGGTATGAGAGAGAAGGTCACTGGGGTCCAGAGCACCAAGTGGTACACGAGTAATTCATATTTTATTGACTTGTTTATTTTCAGTATCCCCCACTGGAATGTAAGTTCAAAGAAGGGTAGAATCTTATGTTCTTTATTCACATGTGTCCCACTGTCATATAATAAGAGCTCAATCAATAGTTGTTGGTTGGCTACATGAATGAATGAATGATAGATGGATGGATGGATGAATGGATTTCAACATACAATGGCAAATGGCAACCCTTTCAGGGAAGATCCAACCAAAGAGGGGGCGGTCCTGCTTGTACCAATTCCTATGGCCTCAGATTAGTAGGGACAGTCCCAGCACTGCAGCCATCATCCCTCATACTTAGCAGTTCACAAAGTCCTCCAATACATGTGCTGTCATTCTGACCTCACAATACCACCATGAGGAAACAATGGCCTAACACTTTGGAATCCTCACTTACTACTTTTCCCCATTATCTTTTGGGATCAACAAATAAGGGTCCTCTCCTTTGGGAAGAAAATGTCCCACAAGGACTTGAAGTCATTACGTAATCTCAAAAGTGCGACGTGTAAAATCTCTCCACACATGGGAAAGAGTACTTGGAAACCAGTACTCCACATGCTGCCTGTGTGTGCACAGAGTGCACTCATGCCCCACTGCTGTTCAGCATCAGACAGGTAACTCAGAAGCAAACATAGAAAGACAGATACCAGGAAGTCAGAAAAAGAAGCCAAGAGAATAGTAAATGAACTAAGAAAACATGATACACATAAGAACGCCTTTCTTCAGCTCCTGACAAAGCTTTCCAACCATGCGTGGTGAAAGGAGAAGGCTGCACCCAAGGCACACTGCCCGACCAGGTAAGAGTCAATTTGGAATTTAGGGCCCAGCTAATTCAGTATTGGTTATGAGGCAAAAAGAAGTTCATGTTTAGAAACTGCATACGAAAACAATGGAGTTATTGAAATTATTGTTATAAAACATACTGCCAATATTCACTAGAAGAATATCATATCAGGTAAGCGTTCCTAAATTCATGGCATATCAATTATCTTGACAGTTCTATAAACACCCTTGCCCCCCTCAACCAGGCTTACTTTTTTTGAATATGAAGCTCCCCTGACCACTTTTTTACAAGTGAACAGGAGGTATTCCCACAAAGTTTTTTATACCTGTGGAAAAGACTCCAAGGCTGGCTGCTCAGCTCATGCCATGCCTGTTTCTCTTGGTACACTCCCCCAAAACTGGTGCAAGGGGCCTCTTGATGGCCATCTCTGTACCACAGGGCCTGCTGGCCAAGACGGCTTTTTTTTTTTTTTTTTAATCAGATACCTAATAGAGATTGAACTAAGCAAACTTTCCTTCTTCAGAACTAAAAATTTGGAACCATGAAAGAGCACCCTGGGGCCAAGTCCCATGAACAATGGCGACCTGGAGAAGCCCAAGAAGACCTTCCTCTGCCCCTTTTCCCTATCAGTGCCCTAACTGCTCCTTCAACTCAGAAGAGCACCCCAACATCTGGCCCACGCTTAGAACTGGTCAGGCAATTTTCCAAAATAACCTGAATTACACATTGTTTCTCCCATCCTCTCAGTATGGCCTCATCTGAATAAACCAGGAAGAGAAGAAGTACATAGTGCATTAGTGGGTGCTATTTTCTACCTGGGCCCCTAGGAACACCAGACCTATAGAAGAGTAGATGAGGAAAGAGTGTTTTCCTCTTTCGTGGAATTCCAGAAAAATGAAACATTGAGTACTCACTGTTCATGACAAGAAAGACAAGCCTGGCAAGCCCCACCTCATCTTCCCCAGGGGTGGGAAGATCCCGAGCCTCATTCCCTCCTGTCCTTACCAGGCATATTCATTCTCTACATGTGCTATTTCATTCACTTAAGTGCACATTTATCAGGCACCTATTGTGAGGCCTCATCAAATATTAAAGTGTGACAAATGCACACATTTTTATCCCAGGAACACCAGCTTCTTCACATTAGCTAAGTAACTTTGGGCATATTACACCTCTAAGACTTAGTTTCTTATTTTATGTCATGGGGATTGTATTAAATGAGACAACACATGGTGACAAGTTAGCTACTATCACAACACCATCCACTTTGAACCATCAGTCCTTTCAAAATGCCTCTCAAGGATCCAATGTGGAGACTCCACCTTTTCTGGTGTTCACTCATGTCCTTCCTAACCAGCTTCAAGATTCTTCCCCCAAATCCTGTTTTTCTGATGGAGAGTTTCAAAAACGGATTAAGGCTTAAGTTAATAAGTCTGTGGCTCACATGATTAATCTTCAACAGCAGAAGAAAGTCAGGAACCTTTAGAGATCTGTGAAATGCATGGAAATTCATACTTGGTGAAAAGGAGCCAGCACTGGGAGCAGGTGTCATTTTAAAGCCCAGATTTTTTTGGGTGGGGTGGGGTGGGATGGAGGTACCAGGGATTGAACCCTAACCACTAAGCAACATCCCCAGCACCCCTGTTTTTTTAAAAAAAAAAAAAAAGAGAGAGAGAGAGAGAGAGAGAGAGAATTTTTTTAGTTTTCGGCAGACACAACATCTTTCTTTGTATGTGGTGCTGAGGATCGAACCCAGGCCGCACGCATGCCAGGCGAGTGCGCTACTGCTTGAGCCACATTCCCAGTCCCTAGCGTACCTGTTTTTTTAAATTTTTTTAAATTGTCAATGGATTTTATTTTGTTTACTCATATGCAGTGCTGAGAATCCAACCCACCCAGTGCCTCACACATGCTAGGCAAGCACTCTACCACTGAGCCACAATCCTAGCCCCAATCCAGGCCCTTTTTATATTTTATTTTGAGATAGGGTCTCGCTAAGTTGCTGAGGTTGGTTTTGAACTCACAATCCTCCTGCCTCAGCCTCCTGAGCTGCTGGGATTACAGGTGTGCGCCACTGCCCCTGGCAAAGCCCCAGATTTTAAAGGTGGGTTTTCACCTTATATTGGTAGACAAGATTTATAGTTATCCTTTCTTTCCAGGGCAACTGGTTGCTCTTAGAGGGAGAAGACAAGGAAAAAAAGGCAGGGGATAATCTAAAATCCCCAAATAACTGAGCATAGGCCATTGCAGAATGAGACCAAACTCACAGGGTGGGTGTGGGAGGGAGAAGACAGTTCTAGGAGCAGAGAAGTCCATTGCATGGTGAGAAAATTTGTAAAGGCTCTGAAGAAAAGAGAGCATTCAAGGAACTACAAGAAAATCAGAATGGGTGAAGCCAGAATGATACCTGAAGGTAGAGGTGGACCAAATCATAGGGTTGGAGGCAAGCTGGGCACTTGCTAAGGTACTTAGTCTTTATCTTTATTTAGGTCATAGAGAGCCTTAAAGAATAATTCCATGTCAAGGAGGGATTTGTGCTTCAATCCAAATAAAGGCAGGGAGACCAGTTAGGAACTGTTGTATGATTCATGTGAGAGACACGGAGCAAGGTAAGATGAAAATACCTCCCTGGGGGCTCTATACAGAGGCTCATCAGGGGATGTGTACTGTACCTGCAAGCAGCCTTTGGACAGGAGGGTGCTGGGAATGTTTTAGGACAGGTACCAGAGTTTGGTCTAATCCCTAGGAAAATCTTTGCTGTAGGTAAGGTAACCCTGACAGATGACCAACTACAGAAAGCCATGCCTCCACACCATGTCCAAGTCCTAACTGTCTCTAGAAGATCTTTTTTTGTCCAACCACCCTGCCTTTCCTGGATGACAGGCCCATGTGTGTCACTAACAGGCATATCCCCAGACCATGATGGCTTGGGGAAAGACCTGGCCTCTCCTCCATCAAAAGACACAGCAGCAATGAGGTTGCTGCCAAGACTCGCAGTGAATCAGAATTTTCATAGGATAAGAGAGATGATGTTGTGCCCACATACATGCATGAGGGGTGGCCTATCATAAAGCCACCTCTGCCCCTGGGGCCCACAGTTACCCCAGGCTCTTAATACCACAGATCTAGAAAAGGCAGCATCCTAGGCAGTGACACATCCTAGTGCTTTTCTGTGCCTACTCAGATTCAGAGAGAAAGGAACTTGGCCGAGTGGGTTGTGAGAAGGTGGTGATAGATCAGGGGTTGAGGCAGCTCTGGCTTGGGCATTCCTTCAGGCCCACATGTGGATCTTGGGAGAATAGACCAGCAAGAAGGTGATGCCTAGAGAATTACTGGGAAGAGCCAGGGATTATACAAATGCTGAACTTGTGGAGGGCTAAAATCCACTCATTCATGAGTTCATAGCAGTTGGGTTCTGGTATTTAACCATAATAATATGGTCATCCTGGACTTAGACACAAACTTCAACAGAACTTGGATTTGAGATATAGCTCTTCATCCAATGAGTGTAAGAACTGG